ATGTCTCGCTCCTTTATCCGGACCAATCTATCAAAGTTACAGCTCATTTTCCATTCAGGACGTGTTAAATTACATCTGCTCTTGGTGCGGAGGCCCCGGTCTGGGACGCCCACGCTGCCGCCTCCGGACAAACCGTCTCAAAAGTTAAAACAAATTGTAATTTTTTTTTTTTTTTTTTTTTTGGGAGGCAAAGGCGTGATCCGGTGGGACTATATCTTTTGGTTATTCAGTTTGCCCTGCAGTAAAAGCCTGGCGATGGTGCGAAGAGGTTGTAAGAAGACATTTTCGAATCGAGAAAAAAAAAAACGGTTGGAAAAGAGCCTGGCAGTTTAGTATTCATCGTTTATTAAGGATAAAATATGAAATAGATGTGAGGACTTTTGAGTGATCTGCAGCTGGACTGGCTCAATTAATATTGTTTATTGTCGGAAAAAACAAAATCAGTGTAAATCCAGGAGATGTTATTGCTTAGAACAGGGGTCTCCAACCTTTTTTCACCCAGAGAGCTACTTTGCTTGGACTAGAACGAGACAGAGCAACTTAGACGTTCAGGCAAAACCGAGTCGACTGAATGGTGAGAGCAAGGCTTGGATGGGAGACTGAACTATCAACATTATTTATAATTTATTACATGTTTTGTTTTCATTTCCAAAAGTTGTGGGCATGTGAATCATACATGTTTTCATTTTCATCGTATTTATTCAAAATCTAAAGCCTTTGGGGAGTTTTTACTTGGAAGCTCTATTCAGCTATTATGGTCCCAGCTGGATTTGTCTGCATATCTGGCAACATGAGTCAGGGAGAGTGGGAGAGGACTACAGAATATTAACTCTGATTGCGGTACCACTTTTGGCCAGGTTTTTACACATTGCTCCTTTAAAATCACAAAAATTGAACTGAATAGAGTGGTTAGTCGCCTACAGGGGGCGCTGTCACACCTATTCTACATGTTTTTAGTGTTGGTTTAGGGTCTGGTTGCCTGATTGCCATCTCCCCCGCCCAGAAATTGATTTTTTTTTTTAAGAAAATGACCTGATGACAATCCATTTCCAACTATTTTACGAAGCTGCAGATTTGATGCTAACATTTCAGCAAATATAATAAAACTGGGAGAAAATCTTATGATCACAAAACGCTAGAAGTGAAAAAAATCCCCAAATCTAAACTATGACGTCTGTGTGTACGCCTTGGGACTTATAACTTGTAACTTTATTCCAACAATGTGCAATTGTTTTCAGATACATATATTGTCACTTGAATCTGTTCTGAGACTATGGGGAAGTAGCAAATAGACATCTCTATTTGTTTGACTTGGACTGTCAAAACCGGTCGAAACCGCTTTACTCGGTCAAACTATATTAAACCATGATTACTGTGAAGAAAAGAGGAGGCTTCAGTTTCAAAATGATGTTTAGACAAAGTGTAATTATTTTTGTGTGGACCAGAAAGACGCCAGCGCAAAGTTTATTTCCATTTCCATGATGTAATACTGAAGAAGAGATGGGACGTTATCTGAAGCCCATAAATAGGACACGTTTTAAAACAAGCAAAATTAACCAAATTATAATCCACAAAAGGGCTGCACGATATTGGAAATTAGAACAATATTCGATATGGGTGTTTAGTATTCTGTAACGATATAAATGCAATGTTTTGGTCTTTCATCTAAAAATGAAAGACCAAACGACCAACATTAATTACATTCAAATGCAGTATGGCCCATGTTCACCTCAGATCTGGGCTAAAGTTGCCAATTCCACAAACGCAGTATTAACAGAGAGTATATACACTGATGTAATGGCTGCAGTTAAAGCTTTGTGTCGCTTCCAAGTTTTCTCGTAAGGAGCAAAAGAAGAAACTGAGGAAGGAGATTGGGCAATGACGAAGTGAGAGTCATGTAGAATACACTGAAAAAAGTAAAATTTTGGTGAGATTTATTTACTAAAAATAACCAAAGTATGTTGGACCCACCACCTGCAGAAGATCAGAGGGACTGGTGCTATGAGCACTGGGTGGCGGCTCTCATTGCCCCCGACCCAGAAATAGACTTATAAAGGGGTTTAAAATGAATGTATGAATGAACAAAGTATGGTTATTTGTTTCAAGTTGTGTTGCTGTAGTTTGTCATAAGATTATTTTACTCGTTTTGAGAGAATAATACTGTAATAATCTTACAAGAGAAAAAAGTCTGAGCAGTGAGATTTTTAAGCTTGTATTTTTTTTGTATTTACAGACAACTTTTATTGTTTAGATAGAAAAAAAAGTTTGTAATGCTTTATTTTAGGAAAATTCAAAAATGTAATCACGTTTTCTAGAATCAAGTAATTTGTGGCGAATATTATTTTTATTATGAAGTTATAATTTCTTGTTCTATTGGCAGATAAATTTTTTATTATTTCAAGCAGTATTTTACTTCCTTTTTTTGGTGGGATTTCTTAGGTGACTGAAAACACACTGCAAGATTTCACAATTTAATTTATGCATTTATTATCATTCCTCTATGTAGACGACAGACGCATTGTTTGTGTTTTTTAATAGACGCATTGTTTGTGTTTTTTAACTTTTTGCTATGTTTTTTTTCTGTTTATCGCGGGTTGACTCTCTCCAACACTTCCAGACCGGTGGATAAAGACCAATCCCGGTCTAGACCTCGGCACAGACCTCCGTACAGCGGCTGCAGTGACATTAACGCGATGACACAGGCAGCTGCTAAATGACCACAGTCCTCCTCCGTCTGCTCCCTTCACTCCTGCAGCCTCAGGCCAACGTCACATCACCTTAACCTCAGCTTCAAACACTCATGAATTATACTGTACGTCTATTTATACTTGGAAATATTGACTTTCTTACACTGGAAGAAAAATCTCTTTAAAAAAAAGAACAAAAATATATGAAAAAAATAAGTAAAATACTGCTTAAAATAGTTTAAAATGATCTGCCAATAGAACAAGAAAACAAAAATTTCAAGTATTATTTACTTACAACATTTTTGCGAAATATTGTCTTAAAATATAGCGTCACAAACTTATTTTATCAAAACAAGAACAGTTGTGTGGAAGAAAAATACTTAAAACAAGCTAAAAAACTCACTGCTCAGACTCAGAATAAGATTATGAAGTATCTTAAAACTAGTAAAATAACCTTACATGACAAACTACATTCAAGCAACAACTTCAAAAAATAAGCATCATTTATGTTTTTTTTAGTGAATAAATCTCACTAGTATTATTCTTTTTGCAGTGTATTTCTTTTCTTATCGCAACTTGTACAGATGTGTCGGACGTTGAGGGAAATGGTGACATCCGAATTCTCGTTTCTGCAGCTCCTTGTTTCCTTCTCTCTTTCACAAGTGGCATTTATCAAAGTTTGGCTGCAGTGGATCTGAGCATATTCTCGCAGCACAAAAGAGCTTTGTGCCGTCGCTCCAGGTGCATTCAAATAAAACTCTTTAATCCTTTTGCCTTTTTCTTTTTTTTTTTTTTACAAAGAACACGAGAACAACACGTCTCTCAGTCTGAGTGTGTGTGTGTGTGTGTGCGGGAGTCAAAGTCCTGCAGGTTTTACCACTTCAAAAAAACAAAGGTGGAAAGTGACTGCAGACTTGAATTGAGTGGAATTATGAAAGATTTAGTTCTTCCAATCCGCAGGCAAAAGCCAGGTGGTCATCAAACTTACGAAAAGGGGACAAAATATGATGAGAGAAAATTTCAGAATTTGTGAGCAGCTTGTATGTATTTATTGTATGTGTTTCTGTATCTATCTGGCTTTTATCAGTTTATCATTGCTGTCTCTTCAGCTGTATTCTAAATGACTTTTGAATATGCGGCTGATTGAGGTGTCAGTTGTGCTTTACGGAGGAAGTCTTGACACTGTTACTTTGGAATTTCATGTTTTAGAATGTGAAATCATATCTAAAAAAAAAATATATATATAATTTTTTACAAGCTACAAGCCTGTGACTCCCTAAGCAACCACCAGAAAGAGGAGCTACATTTCTGTCACTTGAAACGTTTTTTTTTTTATCACATCACAACTTCTACAGAATAGATGTATCTGTCAGATCTAGTTTATAAATAGTAAGTTGGAGCCATGTGAGGGTAGATACAAACAGGTGAAACTTGGAGAATATTGTTAAAAAGTTCATGTACTTCTGTAATGAAACCAAAGCGTGATATTATGACAAATGCCAAGCCTTTATCAGTTATAATTTTCATGTAAAAACTACCAGCTGCAAACCTAATTTCACCTACGATTTAGAAATGACTAAAAGAAGGTTTGAGCAATAGCCGAGCTTTGAAAGGCAGAAAACTGTTGTTATAGTGGGAGCAGGACTGAAACAGCAGCTGTTAGACAGAAGGTGTGGAGTTAGTGTTCCAGATATTAGTGTAGATGGATCAAAAAACTCCAGGTCTGGTTTTCAGGGGACCTGTCTTTAACATGATTAAAATCTCAAAAAAGTAGATGAGATAAATATACAAATATAGAAAAGCTGTTCTCCATTCTTTTGGTGTTCAGTCTCAGCAGATACAGACTTTATATACATCCAAAGAAACATTTCTTGTAATTAAAAAAAAGGTTATACACTTCACTACTGGATCAATATTTGTAATCAGGAAACGCACACAGAGAAAGCGAAAGTCTTTCTCTGCATCTACAAAGACAGTCACAATGCACATAACTTGTTCTGCTAAGCCACAGTCGAAACACCTGCCATTTTCTCCTGTTTTCATTTGTCCTTTTGCTTTCTTTGGCTGATAATGATCCTTCTGAATTTCACTCACGCTCATCTGTTCTATTGGGAAAATGGCAAAACGAAGACGAGGAGGCTCTTTTGGTGCAGCGAGAGGCAGCAGTCTGGTGATGGATCGAGGCGAAGTACAAAGACAAGGTCTAAATCATTAGTGAAACCATTATCGTCGTCGGCTGCCTCTCCGTCACATAAATCACTGGTTAACTCACTGTGTTACTGCGCTGTTGTGTGAGCCGTAGGAAGTGTGCCTATGAGTGGTCTGAGGCTGGGGCTGAGGCTGAGGCTGGGTCTGGGGCTTAGGCTGGGTCTGAGGCTGTGTCTGAGGCTGGGTCTGGGGCCGGTTCTGAGGCTGGGGCTGGTTCTGAGGCTGGTTTGGAGGCTGGTTCTGAGGCTGGTTCTGGGGCTGGTTCTGAGGCTGATTCTGAGGCTGGTTCTGAGGCTGGTTCTGGGGCTGGTTCTGAGGCTGATTCTGAGGCTGGGTCTGAGGCTGGTTCTGAGGCTGGTTCGGAGGCTGGTTCAAAGGATGGTTCGGAGGCTGGTTATAAGGCTGGTTCTGAGACTGGTTCTGAGGTTGGTTCTAAGGCTGGTTCTGAGGCTGGTTCTGAGGCTGGTTCTGAGGCTGGTTCGGAAGCTGGTTCGGAGGCTGGTTATAAGGCTGGTTCTGAGACTGGTTCTGAGGTTGGTTCTAAGGCTGGTTCTGAGGCTGGTTTGGGGATGGTTCTAAGGCTGGTTCTGGGGCTGGTTCTGAGACTGGTTCTGAGGCTGGTTCTGAGTCAGGAGCAGATGGGGAGAGTTAGGAGCCACTGTAGTTGTCAGAGGCTTCAGGATAGGACTGAGATATCCAACTGAGGCATTAGAAAGTGCAAAGCCAGATCCGGCCCGCGAATAAATTGTCTTGGCCCCTGGACGATATTTTATTAGTATTGGAACCGTCCGAACAGAGCCACAAGAACATATTGGTTTATTCATTTAAACAAGAAATAAAATAATGTCCACTGTGTTGGGCCTTGGTTCAAAATGTTATATGTATCTTTTAATTTTGTTTTAATAACGATTGAACCAGTCCGGCCCTCGGCATGTGGAAAATTTAGAATTTTGGCTTCTGATGTGTTTGACTTTCAGAGAGGTGTATGGTCAGAGTGTTGTGTGTGTGTGCTGTAAATTCATGCAACTAAACTCTGGAACAATCTTCCTGAAAATGTGAGACAGGCTTCTTCTCTGACATAGTTCAAGTTACTAAACAGTGTTTAGCTTTGCATACTGAGGGATTTTATAATGTTTTTTTTCTTTTTAATGTACTGTGATTAATTCTAAGTTTTATATTGTTTTGTTCAGCACTTTGAGTTGCCTTGTGTATGAATTGTGCGATACAACAAACTTGCCTTGCCTTACACAACAAAACAAACACATCCCTCATTATACAAGTCCACAGTCCAAACTTTTGCACAATTAGAGAGTGAAAATATAGCTAAAACAACAAATCCATCTTAACTCATATTTAGCCATTACTCTAACGCTAACTGCACTGGGCTCTGGATGTTCTACAGATAGATGGTTATGATATGAAGAGAGAGAGGAGCCAGCATTGGCCGCCTGCCTGGGAACTGCGGAATAATAATTTGGCCCGTAAAGCACTGGTTCACTGCAGATGGAAGGATCAAAACTAGGAGAAAGTCCACTGTGTAGTTTGGGGATATAATGTTGGCTGCTATAGCGATACTGCAGTCGTTTGGTTTTACACTATGGCCATTTGTGCAAAGACATAACTCGGTCTGAAGAAGCTATGAACGTGAAAAGATGCAGATGTGTCATGCCGTGCTGGATGGTCAGTGGCTAAAGGCAATAAGTTCTGTGAAAATGTTGGAAATTGTCATTGAAGTAAGTTATAGACACTTTACTTTGGTGTACACACCTTTAGTTTTGTCATTTGCTTATTTGGTTTTAAAGGAAAATCATTTACTCTTTGTTTTTGTAAATATTTAATCTTATTTTGTTTTCCATTTTAACAGCTATGTCTCCTTATTAAATTTTATCCATCCATCCATCCATTTACTACCCTTTAATCCATTTCTGGGTCAGGGGGGTGACAGTCAGAGATGCCACCCCAAGTCTCATAGCACCAGCCCCTCACTGACCCTCTGCAGGTGGTGAGTCCACAGGAGGACGGCTGCTCTCTGAGTGTGAGCATAGCCTTGATCTTTCAGTGGGGGCTTTGGGCAAAGTGGGGTTAAGTGTCTTGCCCAAGGACACAACGACAGCAGTCATCAGTGGGAGTCCCCACTGATAATAAAAAAATTATTAAATTTTAACTTTTCATAAATTCCTTCCTTCCTTGATGAGCAAATGTAGCTACACAGATCTTTCTTGTTGATATTATTATTATTCATTATACTTTCATTAAAACTGTGTGTTGTAGATGTAAACATTAAAATGCCAGAAAGAATAAATACTATCAGTTGATATTGTTGGAGAAAATAAAGGGATATACAGAAAGATTGCATTCAGAACTGTGGTCATATTTCGGAGATCATAAATGATAACGCAACTACTTTTTTAGACCATTTTTAACTCGTTCTTAGAAGTTGCGTGAAGCCATATATTGTCAAATAAATGTGTTATTTTATTATAAGGACATTGAAAACCGATCAGAAGTCTCCATCTACCTGTTAATCTCGTATAAATTTACCCTTTCATATCTATGACAGCTTAGCAGTCTTCTACCGTAGTAGTCAGATTCAAAAATTGTCCAGTCACTGTAAATTCCTGGGCTGCCTTGCTTGAACTGCATATTTAAGATCTTCCCAGAGCAGCTCAATGATTGCCAATATTTGAAAACTTGATTCTGTCCACTCCCAAGCACAACGGACTGATAAACCGGACAATTTTAGATCCAAACATCGGGTCGGTCTTTTTCATCTCACGACATATTAAAAAGCAAGCGCTATAATAAATACTTTTCATTGGATGTGTCTCTCCCTCGGTATGAAAAAAACAGCTTTGTTCAGCTTTAATCAAGGCTCAGTGTGCATGTGATTTGCTGAAGCATCTTTTGAGGAGGCTTCGCAAATGTGAAAAGCGCTGAACGGTCATAGATGATGGATGAGGACTATTGAATGAAAGGATCGGTGAGACGGGATTGGTTCAGGGCCGAAGAGAGAGCTGTCAAGAAGATTTGTCCTCCACACGGCCTGACGCTGCACTTCTCTCTGCAGAAGTAGTAGTAGTAGAAGTGGTAGTGGTAGTAGTAGTAGTAGCAGTAGCAGTGCTGGTCATAGTAGTAGTGGTGGTGGTAGCGGTAGATGTAGTAGTAGTAGCAGTAGCAGTAGAAGCAGTAGTAGTAGTAGTAGTATTAGCAGTAGTAGTAGTAGTAGCAGTAGCAGTGCTGGTAGGAGTAGCAGTAGTAGTAATAGTAGTATCAGTAGTTGTAGCAATGGCAGCAACAGTAGTAGCAATAGCAGTAGTAGTAGTAACAGTAGCAGTAGAAGTAGTAGCAGTGGAAGCCGTAGCCGTAGTAATAGCAGCAGTAGTAGTAGAAACTGTAGCAGTAGCTCTTGCAGCAGTCGTAGTATTAGTAGTAGTAACAGTAGCAGTAGCAGCAGTAGTAGTAGTTTTACCAGTAGCAGTAGCAATAGTAGCAGTAGTAGCAGTAGCTCTAGCAGTAGTAGTAGTAGCAGTAGTAGTAGAAGCCGTAGCAATAGCAGTAGTAGTGTTGCAAAGGTGCAGAACATTTATTTTGTTACGTCTGTCTGCGTTTCTCGCGCTGTGTTTTTAAACCCAAACCTGATGACCTACACCCGTACTCCCAGACATCTCTGCACTGTCTTGTGACGCTGATCCTGTCACTTCCCTCCCTGTCCTTTAGCATGTGATGATCCGTGCATACTTCCTCGTTCCCAGTGACCTCTCCACGAAGTCCGAGGTGTGACTTTAGAATCAAATGTCAGGGAGGATGTCGAATCACCGCAGAAATGAGGAGTGTGCGTGAGTGAGTCATAGAGCGGCTGGTTATATACAGATCATAAAGCCAGGGCTGGACATCCTTCCTTCCTGTCTCTCCTATCTCCTTGTCTCCTTTCCTTGCTCTTAAAATCAGCCTACCACCATGGATTTGCGTTGGTCATGCATTGTGAATTAATGTCTTAAACCGTTGCAATCAGGTGCATTCGGGACTGCATTAGATCAACATGGTGTCATAACTAAACAGGCCTCGACCAATTTCGAAAAGAGAGTGGGAAATCTGAGTGACTAAAGCAAGAGTCAGGGTTATTTCTGGAAGATGGAGCAGATTTTGAAGACATATGGTGTTTTTTGGTCTGCTAGTAATAATCTAGAAGTAATAATTATGAATTGAACATGATTTAACGCTGGGTTACCTGACTTTAAAACCGCAGAAAATAGTCAAATCAATCTAATTTCCTATCTCTCAAAACACTTTCTGACAGCAAAGTGAAAAAGAGATTGCTCAACCAATCAGCTGGCAATCAAATACAAGTATGCAAAATAGTATGTAGATCAATTATTTTTTTCAGAAGTATCTAATAATATGTGGTTTGATTTGTTGTATTATTTATACATAACAAAATAAAATAAAGTTAGGTATGAATTAATGAATTATTCCAACAGTTTTCTTTATTAACGCTGGGGAACTAATAAAGTAAACATTGTCTTTGTACAGTATGCTATGTCGTTTAAATGCAATCTCTAATGGCACATTCCATATTTTTTACCATTTGATGTTCCATATGTGCCAAAATGCCTGAGCAACGCCCAAAAATGCGTGTCACAGATTAGAGGAGACACGAATGTCAGAGCAGAACGACTAAACGCAGCTTTGAGAGGGAAACTGAAAGGATAAGAAACATTTCAAAGGGCCTGAGGAGAAATTAGTCTTGGGCCCACTGCACACAGCTGGAATCACAGATCAACATATATTCAACCAACAAGACAACAGTCCATGCCACTTATGACAAATGAATAGACGCAGCAATAGTCCATCTGTCCATTTCTCTGACCTCCAACATTACTGAGTTTCAGGTTCCATCCCTAGCTTTTACTTTTATGTATTTCATCCTTTCCTACATGTACGTCTGGGTCTGATCTTAGCGGCTGCAGTTTCCTCGGTTGAATCCTCTCCGACCAATCAGCGAGCGGGAGTGGCAGGTGTTGTTGGGAGGTGTCAGTGACGAATTTGCTGGTTGTTGTTTGTCAACGGCTGCGGATGCGATAGTAAAGTAATCCGTTCTGGTTTGGTTCCAAATATTGAGAAATTGAAGCCGGAGCAAGAGGAATGTTTAGCAAATGTCATTGATGCAAAGATGTTGTGGCTCTACCCCCCACGGGCTCCGATAGTGGAAAAGGAGATGGCTAAAGCAAGGTGAAATTCTAACGCTAGGCTAAATAGATAAAGACAGATTCACTATACATTTCTGACTCTTTCTGTTACAACAAACGCAATCTATTATCTATTGAGTAAAAACAAGTATAAATTGAAACTGTATTCTTACAACTGTACATGTATCATTCTTAACCACTGCTGCGATTTAGCGCTTTACAAGAATACATTGAATTGACTTGAACTAAAACATAACCCTCAAATGACCCGACAAATGCTGGGAAAGCTATCAGCGCGTCAATATCTCAAGTTCAACGTCGGAATATCAAATTATGAAAACAAGAAATGGCAGAATTGAACTGAATAGTGCATGAAATCTGTGAATGAGCGGT